GTCCGTACCCGACTGGCGTGTCAGTTTTAGCTGCAAAGAAGCGCGACGTCTACCTACACAGCTCATGTCGTTCAAGGCTCTTACTACGGCGGCATAAACGTTTAGAACCTTCGTTCCGTACCCGAAACCCAAAAAGCCATTGTCAGATTTATCGATTTTCGTAGTAAGGTCGTCCATTTACCGCTGCACCTCCCGTGTCGAACGTCTACGTACTTTTTTCCTAGAAACTATTGCTCACTCGGAATTTAATCTAGTGCAGAATATCTTCGTTCTTTGTTCTCAAATATGCCCATTCCAGATGGTCGAGTTTGCGCTGGCAATTCAACAAGTTTTGTCAGTGTTCAACGAAGATCTGCTCAACTTCGATTTTGTCTGCAAGCTGGGATTGAACATTGGACCAGTAACAGCTGGTGTTATTGGTACAACGAAACTCTACTACGATATCTGGGGCGACACTGTGAACATCGCCTCACGTATGTACAGCACTGGAGTGCTCAATAGAGTTCAGGTGCGTAACGGATCGCATATTAATATTTAAAGGCACAGTTCGCGATCGGATGGGTGTGGGTTATAGCGTTCGAAATAAAAGCAGGTGCAGAAGTGCGGTCAGCCATTCACGAAAGGTAGCAAACAAGCTGCTAACCAGGAAGGTCTTTCAGGGCGTGACAAGCTTTTGAAAACGGTCTTTTGCATGATATAGGGCAGATGCGGGAACCACAGAACCACGTGTCAATTTTTCCTGAACGGCCCTCTGCATACCAAAAGGAGGTCCCTAGTTCGATTCCTCGTGGTAACAAATTTTTGCATTTCGAGTTGACGTGCCAAAATTCGCGCAAAATGGAGTTAGAACCAACCAGAACAATCAGAACTCCATTTTGCGCGAATTTTGGAACGTCAACTCGAAATGCAAAAATTTGTCACCAAGAGGAATCGAACTAGGGACCCCCTTTTGGTATTCAGAGGGCGTTCAGGAAAAATTAAACATGGTTCTGTGGTTCCCCGCATCTGCCGAGGCGCTATTATTTATCAAAAGATCGTTGCAAAAGCTGCAATCAGGCTGAGACATTCCTGTCAGAACCTCTGAAGTGACCTTTGCCGATGTGTGGGTGGTACCGAGCTGACTGCTGAGCTTCGCGCCTTCTCATGTCAGCTCCGTGCTTACCGTAATCAAGAAGTAGGAAGTAAGCAATAAGGGTAAGGCGGCCTTGATGGCTAGTACATCCTTAGTCCCGAGTGAGATAGCTTCAAGGGTTAAGCATTTCTTATTATTGGCGGGTCGATCTATATTCAAAATCTAACTCTATTATGACTATAATATAAACCACATTCAATAGGTGCTGAGATAGCAGAACGAAATGCTCGTTGAGATCGTTCCTTATCAATTGAATGGGGCAGGGGCATGCTGCTCTGAAAGCGGAAGCCGGTCAGGGATGTCGGTGAAGTTGCTCGGGTACGGGTGTTTACCAAATTAAGACACCACTCGTTTGCTTCGAAGGCAACTAGGACTGAGCCTACGCTTAATCATGGGCTTGGGCATAAAGCTAATGCAAGCATACAGTTTATAAAGCTCGCTCAACCCAAGCATCCATCTTGAGCTTCAACGTTCCGCGTAAGTCTGTAACTTTAACTTAGAAACGTCCCCCTCGGTGGACCTTTCGCTATATTCTAAAGGATAGGTGAAATTACCTAAGCGGTTTGACGGCGGCTTGGAATCTGCCTTTACCATATCTGCGCCCATACCTGGCATATTCTGCCTTTTCAGTTCTCTTCTTTCAGGTGTCCGCACATACCCGAGATATTTTACTGGACAGGTACGAGTTCGAGTACAGGGATCACATCGAAGTGAAAGGAATCGATGGCGGCATGGACACCTATCTGTTGGTCGGACGGAAAAGTGACCGTATCCCGCCGGCCATCTCGGATCATGGCAGTGCTACCGGCAGCGAAAAGGCGCCGCAGAAGGCTACGTAGCCTTAGGCCTACTCGGTTCTTTTCCCCGTATTCCACACACATTGCATTCTTTACGTCTGTGTCTTGCCACCATCTGACAGCTGAATTTGTTATACATGTGCGGGTCTGTAGATTTTAGTAGGGAGAAACACCATGTCTTGTGGCGGCCAGGGTCGTCACAACAGCTGTGTTTTGAATAATCGGATCAAAATTCGCATTTTCTAGCATTCTCTCCATATGTTGCTCGAGTATCTCAATCTCTAGTCATTTATGGGCATTACGCTTTCCAAAGGCATTCTTCTCCCTCTCAATTATCTGGTCTTCCATTAGCTGCATTGTTTGCTATGCGTTCATTTATTGTTTCTAAGACATCTTTGGAAACGTGAAAAGAATCTCGGTGATTGTTGCTTCAGAGTATTTCATAATATAAAAATCGTAAATAAAATATCAGTATCAATTTTTTCACGAGACCCTCCGTTCAATGCCAAATGGATGGACGCTTAGCTTTTGTGGCACTCGATAAATTGGCACTATTCTAAAGGCACATTTCACGACAACCTTGATGTGGTTATCACACCATGAAATGGAAACGGAGAGTTCATGAGATCATCAGTGGGAAAAAAGCAAGAAAACCCACTTGAAACCATCCCTACTATATATGAAGCGCTATGTCTGTCTGTGAGAAATTCATAGCACGCTTCGCAGCAGTGACAACAACAACTCGATAGGAGCTGATAAAGACGCCTTAGCACGCAAATTTCAACGAAGATTCATAAACGCGCGGTCCAAGCTAGCGTTGAGACGCTGTCGCTCACGAATATGATAGCAGGAGATGGGACGGAACATATTTTGTTGGGTGTGCAGAAAGTGATAGCAATGCAGTGGATGGCAGAGTGAGTGACACTCGGTAAAAGGTGATGTGAATGATGCAGCATCGGCCGGAGGAGTTAGCTAAAGTTGTTTTCCAGTGGACAATATCGAATGAGAAAGCATTCCGTTTTAGTCGCCGGTATTGGAATTTTTCGACCGCTAACCTGTCCAATCATCATAGGATGGTCGGTGTTCATGGAAGCATGATATGCTGTTTTGCGTTCTAATGCAATATCATCACTACGAGAACCTAATTCAACTCCGCTAAAACCTCTCGGCATCCGAACCATGTTAAGTTGTTATTCTTGCTCCTGGCTTGAGAGTAATGGAGCGTTCATAGTTGGCGAGTAGGCGATCAGGCGAGTAGGCGATTAGGCGGTGAAGACTACATACGTATCGACTTGTATGTTCCGCCCTGAGGGCGTTGTAGGCGAGTAGGCGAGTAGGCGAGTAGGCGAGTAGGCGATTAGGCGATTAGGCGATTAGGCGATTTGCACACGGCGCACTCCTTAGTCGTCAAAATTGAGGCGCACATGCATATTAGCTTCTCACCCATACACTAGACTACTAGTTGGTAAAAGCAGATCTTGTCAAAGTGTTGCATACAATCCAGATATCACCTAATCGCCTACTCGCCTAATCGCCTACTCGCCTACTCGCCTACTCGACCTGATCGTATCCTTTACTCATCGCCTGATCGCCTACTCGCCTACTCGCCTACTCGCCCTACTCGCCTACTCGCCTAATCGCCTAATCGATCCGCATACTTTTCATTTTGAATCATCGCCTACTCGCCTAATCGCCTAATCGCACGTACGATCGCCAACTATGAACGCTCCATAAGCAGTACAAAGTAGGCTTGTATTAATGGAGCGTTCATAGTTGGCGATCGTACGTGCGATTAGGCGATTAGGCGAGTAGGCGATAAGAGAAGGATGTGTATTGATTTGATTGCTCCGCCCATTGAGCGATCGCCTAATCGCCTACTCGCCTACTCGCCTAGTCGCCTTAATCGCTCGGCTCTGCTCGCCTCCCTACGTTCTATGGGCGGTGTAAAATGAAATGAATTACGTATTGTGGTGTCGCTGCACTAATCGCCTTTCTTCGCCTAATGCGCCTACGTGCGAGATCCGCACAACTCTGACGTGCTGGGAACGCTCATAAGTATTTCCAATGCTTTATGTCCAGCTAAAGAAAATGGCTTTTCCGAAAATGATCAGATGTCAATGGTTATTGACGAGCTAACTAGCAGAATGTCTGCTGTCATTCACCAGCGGCCAGATAAAAACCTTTTCACATAAGTTCAACCAAACAACGGAAGTCAATTGCTCATATCGTCCAATCCATAATAAGATCATCGTGGATCTGGCTCTGATTTTCCACTAAAAGCACTACTCTTGATATACCGAACCTGGGGAAGTCATATTACACAACGATTCCACTAAGTCAAGCGTCAGATTATTCAGGAATATACTGTTTGGGGAAGAAGTTCGAGGATGGCGGCTTCGAAAAGATACTTGCGGCAGAACACAATTTCATTTTCTGATGCTCCTCGACGTGCAACCTTGAATTCCGATAGATTTCGCTAAGCAACACCAACCCTCGATATTTGGTGTGTTATTAGCTGGTTGTATAATTGAAGTTGTCTGATGCCTGAATTGATATAGCAATGAAACAGAGCATAAGAAAACCATACGAGTGGAAGCAGTAACAAGGAATTTTCCTGAAATAAGGAAGGGGAGGTGACATGAACGGGATTGTATGAACTTTGTCTACTCCACCAGTGAGCTATAACCCTCGCGTATTTGAATTAGCCGCTCGCCAAATCCACAGCTGCTGTGTTATTGGGGTGTGCGCATACATGACTCGTCAATATGTGTGATTATTTCGCGTCAGATAGGGTGTTTTTGTGAGACCCTCGCTAGCGCATTGTACGCGCACATTTCGAGGCCGCGACTACGACACACATTGGCTACTCGTGAGCATCCAAGCCACTAAATACCGGTTTTGCACAAGACTTCTGCTTTGGGGGTGACTTGAGAAAATTTGTGCACTTGACTGGGAAAGATGTAGGGAAAAGAATTGTTGGAACGGAGCTTGTGCAGTTGAACATAAAACCTCAAGAATGTTTTCTTTGAGCAAACACTGCTATCAACAGGGAGATGTGGTCGATGGTGGCAACGAGTGTTCCCGTAGGTAGACGATAAATGTTAACCTTCGTGGAGAAAGACCGCTAAACATAACAACCCCCCCCCCCAGAGGCCGGAGAGCCTCAAGTGAACTGAAATCCCAGACATGGCCTCTCAGCACGTGAATAACAAGTCCTAAGTGTGTCTGCAGTACAAGCCGAATGCCCCAACGGACGAAGTTCTCCACAAAAATTCGATAATTTTAGTTTACAATGATAATTGATAGTTGATAAATAATAGTGTAATTAGTGACAATTACTATAGTAATACTGTTGTCAACCAATTTATTTCCTTTGAACAGATAGAACAACATTTTGTAAAACGGTGTCGTTCAACTTGCGTAGTGATTTGTGGATTAGGGTGCGACCTAGCCAAGGAGATTACAAAAACAGAAGTGTACTGGGGTCGAGCTTTTTTTTTTTTAACTACGGTCTGTCCTTTGTCAAATGACGTTCTGCAAAGTCAAGAAATGCTGACTCACAGATCAATGCAAGTCCACAACAGATGAAGACTGTATCCTTCACCAATCTTCCAATCACCGTTCACTGAGTGGTTCCGAGGCATCAAAAAAAAACCGCCTGAAAAAAAAAACAAGGATCGGTTTTTTACTGAACCGCCTGCTGATAGAGCCATAAAAATACAGCATATACAGGGGTGGCCAAAAAAGTCACTACACTCCACATCTCAGACAGCATTAATCACCCTTTGCTATACTCTCAGCGACAGCGAACTTAGTGTGGAAGAGCACATTCCTTTCTGACAATAAATCTTAAAATAGCTTTATAATAGTACCTAGGACATCACAGCTGCCACGAGAACCTTGCGCATGGTTCGAGCTCAACTGGAATTCGACCGATCATGGACTATGGCGACGCTTATTTGGAACGTCGGTCGGAAGGGGTTGTGCATGTACAGAGCTACTGTCTCTAGGAAGCCATCTGCCAGTGTACAGATTGAAGAAATTTCGTAGCAGCTTCAGGCTGGAACGATTACGGTAGGCCTTTTCAAGCACAGTGGTGATGGAAGATCGCCGTCAGACGGCGCGCGGGAGGAAGGGTCCGCTTCTACTTAAGAAAAGGACATTTAAAGGCTATTCTGCCGTCAAGGCTTTCCCTCAGCAGCGAGGCCCTCCGAGGAAAGTTTGATGCATGGTGCACCATAGGCAAGCGGTGTCTCCCTTTTTTGGCCCACCTCCTAATGAAGGTATCACGACGCTCGAAAATGAGTGGCCTGAATAACCTTCTTTTTCGCAAGGCACTTCCGGATTTCTCTCTAGGTGAATATGCTCCTCTCTCGTTACTGTTCATCGCCCTTATTAAAGGATAAGACCATCTACCAGGGGGATCAGGAGATGGTGGTTGAGGTGATTATTTCATACACGAGGAAAGGTCAATTGGTCACTTTTCGAAATGAAAATGCTGAAATATCGCTCCAGCCCAAAATGCTAAATTTCTTCAACCATCGTCACAGTGAAATTTACCATCCTCAGAAGGCGCTCTGATTCAGCAAGACCCCTCGACCAGCGTTTCAAACAACGTCGTAAATAATGGCCCCTATCCGTCGGGGACCTCGCTGAGGCCAAACCGTCCACCATGCACCTTTGGGAAGATCTTCTGATGCCGTCGGTGTAGTAGGCTGTTATGAAGTGTTCTGATAGAAAGGAATGCTCGAGTGCGAGTCCGTAGTTTTGCTCGTTTCTGAAGGCTGTTCGAAGTATTTTCAGTAAATTTCTGAAGCTATAGAATTGACTCATTTCGGAGTCGATTCCACGACCGCTTTCATGAGAATCACGGTCGTTACCGCGGCGCTTCCCTGCTTCATACCTACCGTCAGGAAATCTTTACGCAGGTGCGAAGCAAAATCTGAGCTCACCATCCCAAGGCACTTATTGAGGTGTATATCTCATATCAAATGGCCGCATTGATCAACTGGCCTTTCCCTCTTAGAATCTCTTCAAAACTT